TTGCAAAAGCTATTCAGATTAACATAAAACAAAGAACTGTGGAAAACTGACACGAAAACAGGAATAGATTGAGAAACTCAGCAGGTCTGACAGCACCGGTGTAGAGAAATAGAGTTAACATTTCGGGTCCAGTGACTATTTGTAAGTGCAAGGTTTGTTATGAATTTCTATATTACAATGCCAGAGGAAATTGTCAGCTCTGTCTGTTGAATCAACATATTTATCAAATTGTGCTCTCTCATTAGCTGACAACTGTCAACTTTACAACCTTAAAGGTATTTCATTGGCTCTAATGCTCCTTCCATTGCCCAGATGTGGTGAAAGGCTGATTAAATGGTTGCCTTTTTCTTTTCCCTTGTGTCAGTTCGCAACCATGTCAAATGGAGAATTGGTCCTTTCAGTGTCTACCTCAATATGTATCTCTATTTGTCTCTCTTTGTTTCTGTATATCCACTTCACCCCCTTTCACATTCTCCAACTCTCCTTCTGTCAAAATCCCTCATTTCCCATTCCTGCACTGTGTAAAGTCTGAACTTCGGAGATAATTTAAGAGTGGAGTTGCTGAGAGGCTTTTACCCTCTGGCTGGAGTGTCTAGAACTGGATTCACATTCCCCGGATAATGTGTCTGTCACTTAGGGCGGAGGTAATGAAATATTTCTTCTCTCAAAAGATTGTGAATCTTTAGAATTCTAAAGGATTGTAGTGATGTCTTTACTGTTTGGTGTAAAATGAATGAATGGTGACAGCGGAGAATGAGAGAGATCAGCTCACTCTGACTGGGCCATTACCACAACATTCCCCGCTAAGTCTGCAATTTATCCTGCTCACCTTGTTATTCCAACCAAACTGGGAATGAAGGGATGAGAAAAGAAGAAAAGGAGAAGCAGAAGTCCTTGCAGAACAGCAGAAAGGAACTTCATGATAAATCCATCAGAAAAAGAGAAGTCGCTGAAGCAGTCTCCTGAGGACAAATGTGTTTTCTTTGCCAGTAAAATTCACCACTTCAATAAGCAGGGACCATTGGACTGAAGCTTTGACAGTGATTGTCTTTGCTGGTTGTTCACTTTGTGAATGTTACCATTGCTGCTCATGTCCCTGTCAGCACCACAACACTGGCGCATGTAAGCATTGCACATACGTGGGGCCAGTGGTGCAATGGATAATGTGCCTGACTACAGATCAGGAGATTGTAGGTTTGACTACCTAGCTCAAGTGTAATTCACAATTTCTTTACACTTCCAAACTAATCTTCCTAATTGTCCTGAAACCAAGATGAGCTTTGAATTTCTAATCTGCAGAAACGAGACTCCTTTCAATGTCTCACATCAGTAAATGTCACTGAGAATGTCAGAGGAGGGGAAGCTGAAATAGTCCCACAAAATTCACATTCAATTTCCCAAAACTACTGACCCAGTCACTGGATCTCCCGGGAATGGAAAGAAAACAAACAAAAAATAAAACCAGTCTCTGCTTTGTGAGTCTTTCAAAATTCTTTGGGAAGCAGAATCAGAGGAGAATGAAGGTGAATTTTCCAACTGAGCAGCGGCAGTCGAGGAAGCTTCCCCGTCATGAAGAGGCTGGGACATTGACTCTGATGCTCTCGGGGACGTTAACTGACATGAGACACTGAAAGGATTCCCATCAGAGACTGCTCTGTGTTTGATTTTGTTACTGTCAGGAACAATAAATCCTGATTCCCTGACCAGAAATCGAACCTATTATCCCAGTTTCCAACACTTAGCCTGGAGCCTTGTGTGCTCTGATGTTTCAAGTATTCATCTCAATGATATTTTCCCTGTAATGTTTTAATCTCAAGTGCCACAAAGAATGGGACTGAGATTTGAGATGGGAAACTGAACCTCATTTTCACCCAGAGAAGGAAACACAGAGGCACATTGTCCCAAGAGCGATGTCAGCTTCAGGAGAGAACAACCCCAGAAAGCAAGTATTTCACCCATCTGCCTTATATCGTCCCATTTCAGACTTCAATACCAGTGTCTGGTTACAGCAAAGAAAGGAAGCATTCGGCCCCTCCCCTGCTGTGTTACTTGCCCCATTGTTTCTCCATTACTCTGCAGCTAATCCTGCCTCACTTCATTCTTCCTGCCAAACTGGAACATTGCTCATGCCAACTGCTTTCTGTCCTTCTGAAAGATCTTCCTCAAGTACCTGGAAGGATAAACAGGAATGTGGTATTTCAAACGCATTTCTTGCTGGTTGAGGAAATGTCATGGTGGTATTAACGCTGTTTCATCAGAAATAATTTCAAACGTCTTTAAAGAGCTCCTTTGGTTGGTTCCAGCAGGTGGTGAACATTCTCTCAGGCCCCAGAAAGAATCAAACTCAAAACCACTGGGTGAATCACCAAACTACAAAGTCATGCATTAAAAACTGCAATGTCATAGATGACTGGATAGCCTATGCATCATACACCAAGACAATGTAACAAATCCGATACAGAGCTGAGGGAATCATGTGAAGAAGGATGGGAGAATACAACGCCAAATCAGACCGTGTCCAGGGTGATATGAACAGACATCTGCCCTGGTAGTCTAGTGATCAGGATTCAGTGACTTCAATGGTTAACATTTACAGTAATAAATATAAAACACTGACTAATCCTTAGAAGCAGAATTATGTCATGGACCAGTCAGAATTGATTCACTGCATATTACTGTTCCACATTAGCAATGTCAGCCGTAATTGCCTGACGTGCAATCGGTTTAAAACAAGAAAAGAGCGAACATCAGGAAAAGTGAAGGGTGATGGTGGTTTGTGAGAGCTGACTGTTGGCCTGATGGAGCCAGGCCCAATGTGGGTTCTGAAGACTGATTTTCACTGTCTACCCTGGTACATAGATCACTCTGAATCAATCACCCACAATGACTCTCCTTTGTGTGGTTGCCCTTTGCACATCTCACCTCGGTTCAGTGTCTGGAGGGGATCCACGCATGTTAACTTGGCAAATTTTGCAAAATCTGCTTTAAAGTCTCATATTAAGACCATAAACGTTCGGAGCAGAAAGAGACCATTTAGCCCATTCAGTCTGCTCTGCCATTTAATGAGCTTGTGACTGATATGATAATCCTGAACTGTGCTTTCTTGCCTTTCCCCATAACCCTTGATACCTTTACTGATTAAAAATCTGTCAATCTCACCACTGAATACACTTAATTACCCAGATCTGACAACTCTCCGCTGTAAGGAATTCCACCGATTCACAACCATCTGAGAGAATAAATGCTTCCTCATCTGTCTTAAATGTGCGCTCCCTGTTCTGATATTAGGCACTCTGGTGCAAGACTGCCCAGAAGGAAATTTTTTGTGTCCACATGTTAAATCTTAAAGAAACCTGTATGCTTTAATAAGGAGCAAGTATTTTTGTATTACTGTGTAGTCAATGGATTTCAGTGCTTCCTCCTGTTTGGTTTCATCCTTGATGGTAAAACTTCCACTGATCTGACTGAGATGTCCCCTGTACGTCTTTTAATGTCAGGAATTCATGTTCATTTTAAGAGTTTGGACAGGAACAATGAAGTCCTCATTTCTATTTGGGAATCAAACCGAGAACACAGCAGTTGCAATGCTGAATCCCAAAAAGGAAGGTGTACACAATATTTGCAACTTTTCTTCTTGACACGGATTTTGACCTTTTGTTTCACTTGCAAAATAATAGTCAGTGAGATTTTAATACCATGGAGAGAGGCCCTTCAGCCCATTATATCTATGCCAGTCATCAAACATCTCACTTCTCAAGGGTAGTAGGAACTGCAGATGCTGGAGAATCTGAGACAACAAGGTGCAGAGCTGGATGAACACAGCAGGCCAAGCAGCATCATAGGAGCGGGAAGGCTGACGTTTCGGGCCAAGACCCTTCATCATTTTCTGATGAAGGGTCAAGGCCCGAAACGTCAGCCTTCATGCTCCTATGATCTCACTTCTCAAACCAGTTTCCAACACTTGGCCCATCGCCTCATTTGCGCTGACGTTTCGAGTGCTCATCCGAATAGTTAGTTTATGTCTTGAGGGCATCAGTAGAACAAAAACACTTCCTTCAACAAACGACAGGAAATGTTGTTTGCTGCAACATGAAATCTTTGTTTTTCTCTTTGAAGACAGTTATGAAAGCCAAACTCTTTCTCAGAGCCGTTTGCCAGATTTCCTCATGATGCTAACAATGTCAATTTAAATCCCACACCGCCTGAGGTTACCACTAATGACTCTCCCCTTTCAACCTCTCTGCTGACATGAGATATGGTGTCCTTCAGGTCAAACCACTACCAGTTTTGTCTCTCCCCTGTGACCTAGAATGTGTATGGCGACTCAGTGTCAGTACCAGTGTGGCTCAGTGTCAGACTTTGTGATATTATTATCCGTGGGATGCAAAAGGCATTGTATTATTAATTATTAATTA